GCAGACAATTCGATAAGCCAGTGACTTTTGAAAAAAAGATTATGTTGAAAAATAAGAAACTCTGGAAAAGAAATTAAAAAAGTAGTCACTAACTTAATTGTGAAATTGCCCTTGTAAAGAAACGATAAGAATAATAATCTCCTTCTGTTCAAAATTGACACAAAAATAACCCATCGTCCTTGCAGTTTTTTTTTCCAAATTTCTCAAAAGAAGGGAGATATAACACAGAGATGTTATTCAGATGCGACTTTTCAGCTGGAAGGACAGAGCGGAGAGGGGTGGGGAGGTGTTTACGGGGCGAATTGCACAAAGTCAGAAAATTACGAGAACGAGGTTGGCGGATATCGAATAATCGCCAGTGGTCGAACCAGTCGGCCAGCGTTGTCGATACGACGATGTCGCAATCGCTCGACCGTAAACTGGACCCACTGGGCCAGTGGTCAACCGTGAATGGCCGACCACGCCCTCGTGCACCTTTCACAAGTTTCCTTTATAAAATGCTTCTTTATAAATTATATCTGTAAAATCGACAAAACGATAACGCGGCACGATTTATCGAATTATTAACGCGGATCATTCAGATTTGATGTCGCCCACGCGAGTTGATCATCTTGAAAAATTGAAAGAGAGAAAGAAACGATACGCTCGTGATTAAAGAATTATTTGGACAATTTCGACGAAAATTTTTTTTTCTTTTCGGATCTCTTTTAGTCGACAGATTGGAAGTTTCTTGCCATCGGCCTTTCAACGTTCTCTCTCGAATGGAACGTCAACTGGGCGGCATTGCTGTGACGTCGTGGCAACAGACTCGATCGATGTTGCAGAAATACAAAGACACAGCGTTCGCTCGCGCTCGGCAGCCAGATTAACGAATTACTTGATTCCGAGGCAGTCGGCAAAGCCGGGATTCTACGATCGATACTTGAAAAGTCTTCGCGCATGTACTATCAGTTATTATTTTATTGCTTACCTGCCAAAACAATAATCAATATAGCGGCCTTCCTGTACATTATATAACACGTATTTATATAAACCTTATATTAGACAATCTAAATCGTATAGATTTTAAGATAAAATTTTAATTTTAATTTTATATGTATCGAATATTTTGACTATTCAATTATTTTAATATACATTTTATTTATGCTTATACATTTTGATAACTTTTTTTTCATTAGACGATGTTCATAAAATAATAAATAAAATTTTATCTTAACCATACTTATAATTTTTCATTATATTGATTGATTAAAAAATATACAATATATATATATATATAATGTATATATTTGATAAAAATTAAAAATGTTTTGATACACTTATTTAATTCTAGCAACCAGTGTGCGTTTTACAACAAAATTATTTTCAGATCTGTACCTATTAAAATTAAATTTTAGATGTTTCAGCAAAACCGTTCTTTTCATGCGGAAACTTTGCTTGGTACAATAATAGACATTAGAAAGCAACAGTAAACGGCACGATATAGAAATGCAAAACGGTGCAAAGGTATTTCTTTATGAATAATCGTTACCGGGGAGCGGATGGACATTCCTTTAATTACAGACGGCTGTACGAAAGTCCTCCGAGAAACGCAGCTATGTTTCGTGCTAACGAACATCGGTAGGCGAATGCATGGTTGGAATGTTTCCTACCGTATCTGTCGTTAGCGTCCGATTTCGCTACATTAGATTTCATTCTGATTGCCGGACCCCTTTCTCCAAAAAGTTCCGCAAAGGTTGAGCGAACGAAAGTCGCTTTCGCATGAAACCAAGGCGATACTTTCTACGTTTCCTACTCTTTCCCACGTGAGGAGATATTTTTGTATTTCAATAAAAGGTCGACACTCACGACTGCGCGAGGGTAATCACTTTTATTTATATTCACGATTGTAAAATCCACTTCGTACGTATCTTTCTCTCGCATCCTCCCGATACACATATCGCAGCTTCCGCTTATCGTAGACGGGGTTCGTTTACGTTTCCAACAAATGTATAACGTCAAAGTAGCCAGCTCGTAGCTCCCCGGTTCGGAATAGAAAAAGAAAAGGATCCAGCAGCGACATGAGGCGAGGAATACGAGGAAAGGGGCATTAGCGTGCTAAGCAGATGCAGATGAAACAAATGGATTCGCTCAGTGACCGTCGTAAATTCACGGTATCGCGACACGATCCGTACACTCTCGCACGAACGAGGGTACGAGGGCCGCTGGCATCCTCCGCGGTGTGAAATTTGCCCGGTATCTAGAAGGACGAGGGTACTCCATCCGCATATATAATTATAGACGTAACGCTCGATTCCGCGTATTAATTTTACGATTTCATTACGTAGCTATTATATACTTTCCAGTTCGTTCGTCTAAAAACACCTATATGTACCGTAAACCGCTATCACATCAGATCTGTACGTGAAATATGCAGCCTTGGCCAAAAGTATAAAGCACAAATTGACGTAACGTTGTAACGATTAGTAAATTGTAAAACAGTTTTATTGAAAAATAATATAATATTTTAATATTTAATATAATATTTTAATATTATTTTTTTCGTGTTTAATATATTTTATATATCTTTTTATATTTTATATACTTCATGTATTTTAATATTTTGTTTATTTTCTTTGGATATTATTACCATCTTTTCTCCAAGAAAATGTAATGAACTGATGATGCTTTATAGTCAAGATTGTACGTCTATTGCGGCTTCAAATTAGAAACTTATCTATCGGAAATTTGAAAACAGATTGCAGAAATCATTTTTGCATACGCCATGTAATAAACATGGGGTTTATTTCATTGAATGATTTAATCGAAAGCCACGGCGATTCGCTCTGACGCTAACATCTTTATGAATAATCGTTACCGGGGAGCGGATGGACATTCCTTTAATTACAGACGGCTGTACAAAAGTCCTCCGAGAAACGCAGCTATGTTTCGTGCTAACGAACATCGATAGGCGAATGCATGGTTGGAATGTTTCCTACCGTATCTGTCGTTAGCGTCCGATTTCGCTACATTAGATTTCATTCTGATTGCCGGACCCCTTTCTCCAAAAAGTTCCGCAAAGGTTGAGCGAACGAAAGTCGCTTTCGCATGAAACCAAGACGATACTTTCTACGTTTCCTACTCTTTCCCACGTGAGGAGATATTTTTGTATTTCAATAAAAGGTCGACACTCACGACTGCGCGAGGGTAATCACTTTTATTTATATTCACGATTGTAAAATCCACTTCGTACGTATCTTTCTCTCGCATCCTCCCGATACACATATCGCAGCTTCCGCTTATCGTAGACGGGGTTCGTTTACGTTTCCAACAAATGTATAACGTCAAAGTAGCCAGCTCGTAGCTCCCCGGTTCGGAATAGAAAAAGAAAAGGATCCAGCAGCGACATGAGGCGAGGAATACGAGGAAAGGGGCATTAGCGTGCTAAGCAGATGCAGATGAAACAAATGGATTCGCTCAGTGACCGTCGTAAATTCACGGTATCGCGACACGATCCGTACACTCTCGCACGAACGAGGGTACGAGGGCCGCTGGCATCCTCCGCGGTGTGAAATTTGCCCGGTATCTAGAAGGACGAGGGTACTCCATCCGCATATATAATTATAGACGTAACGCTCGATTCCGCGTATTAATTTTACGATTTCATTACGTAGCTATTATATACTTTCCAGTTCGTTCGTCTAAAAACACCTATATGTACCGTAAACCGCTATCACATCAGATCTGTACGTGAAATATGCAGCCTTGGCCAAAAGTATAAAGCACAAATTGACGTAACGTTGTAACGATTAGTAAATTGTAAAACAGTTTTATTGAAAAATAATATAATATTTTAATATTTAATATAATATTTTAATATTATTTTTTTCGTGTTTAATATATTTTATATATCTTTTTATATTTTATATACTTCATGTATTTTAATATTTTGTTTATTTTCTTTGGATATTATTACCATCTTTTCTCCAAGAAAATGTAATGAACTGATGATGCTTTATAGTCAAGATTGTACGTCTATTGCGGCTTCAAATTAGAAACTTATCTATCGGAAATTTGAAAACAGATTGCAGAAATCATTTTTGCATACGCCATGTAATAAACATGGGGTTTATTTCATTGAATGATTTAATCGAAAGCCACGGCGATTCGCTCTGACGCTAACGATACGTAATAATAAGCGATAGATGTAAAAGCGATACATTACGCTGGACAATAATTTGTCAGTCTTTCGCGATGCGCGGTTGATCGATGTTGTATCCGCCTGGGATCGTTTAAATGGTAGCGCCAGTTTGTCGATAAGATTATTAATGGCATGAATTATTCGCGGCTTTTATCGCAATCTACACAGCGGCAAATCTTTTTTTCCAGAAGCCATCGCTCTATTTCGGATCTCCTTTTTTCCGAAAATAAGCGGCAAAAATTTGAATAGAAATTCAAATTCATATATAATTTTATACGTCATCAAATCTATCTGTATGATAAGTATAAATACATATATATATATATATATATGTGTGTGTGTGTGTAATTTAATTTTCTGTATAAAAATAAAACATACTATACAATGTGTAATTATAGAAAGACCTAAATTTACATATCTAAAAATAGTTTTGTTGAATTATCAAAATAATTAAATAGAACGCTCGAGCTGATTGCTAAAATATCAAAAGGTTTTACAGTATTGTTTATTTCGAATTTCCTACATAATTGTTTCGTAAATCTATTTTTATGTAAAACAAATTAAATCACACATATTACATATATGAAGGCACTTGTTACACATTTAAATTTGCAGACGTGTAATATATACATTGGTGAAAGATATTATACCTGCAGAATTAAAAACATAAACATACATACATATACAAAAAATATATACTTACTTATAAATTATTTATAAAATATATGTATTTATAAAACACGACACGCGAGTTTTTAAGATTTTTTCTTCCGGCCCAAACGAGAGGAGCTTCCCCCTAGGTCATCGATTCCTGCTAAAGTCATCGACACGTGACTGCGCGACCGGTCCTGCAATCCAGTTCCGTCGCAGCCCAATCAGGCGAGGAGGTGTCCGGGAAGGGACAGGGATGAGGCGAGGAGTCTCGATCACTATCATCGGAATCAAGGACGTCCGCCTACGCTGAACTTCCCGTATACCGTTACTACCGAATTCCGGCTTCCCCTCGGGTCCTCTTGTTTTCCCTCTCTCTCTCTCTCTCTCTCTTTTCTCGCGAGCGAACGCAGATGGTCGAATTCGGAAGATTACTGTTCCTCGCAGGCTCCGATCTGATCTGCTTGGCTCGGCGCGGCGGCTCCTATCCGATTCGCTCGGAGTTTCCTCACGTTGGAATCCGGATGCCAAGGAGCGAACGGTCAGGCGAGCGAGCGAGCGAGCGAACGACCCACAGCTGCACTCGCGGCATATTCTTCGCGCGTTGCGAAATTGCGCGTGTTCTCCGTGGCGTGTCGCGTGTACCTTCGCGTGTATTCCTCCTTCCTCTTTCTTCTCCTCTCTCACCCGTCACGTGTGTCAGCGGGTGTTCGCGTGTGGGTGGCTGAACGAGCCGGGACGTGCAACATCGTCGATAGCCAGCGCACGCACGGTCATTGATGCGTTCGCGCGTCCACGTGTGCGTATCCTAGGAAACGCAGGGGATGTCGGCAAAGCGGGCAAAGGATGTTAAAAATATTCACGAGGTCTTGGAATATTCGTTAAACTGAAGAAAAAGTCGATGTGCACGGAGAGAACAGGTTTGCTGAATTATTAAAAAATTTAATTAAATACAGATCTGAATATAATTTTGGTGAACTATCAAAATAATTATGTAAATCGCATAAGTCAATAGTTAAAATATAAAATTTTTTGCAGCTTTACATACTGTGTTTGAATTCTACATAATTGTTTTGACGATCCAACAAAATGATTTTCAAATCTGTATCTCTATAACTGAATTTTTAGATATTTTAATAACATTATTGCTTCTTCCATGTATTATAGAAGAATTACGACCGTCTTGGAATAAACAACGACTTTTTGTTTGAAGTTTTATAATTTTTTCACGCTATTGCTTCTCACATATACTGTGTAGAAGAGCAGAATAATATCCTTTTAGAATAGATCTCTCTCTCTCTCTCTAATATAAAGCATTATATAAATAAAAAAAATTAATGCAAGAAAGTAAATTTCTGATTTTTAATTTGAATTATCTTTTTCAGATTTTTTTTACATAGCCATCTTCTTTAATACAATTATAATAATACAATTATTTAAAATAAATATACAGTTTACAATAATAATACAAATACAAAATTTATTGCACAATAATATTGTTGACGCTTTCACGGATACCTATATTTTTCAAGACACAGAGATAACACATCTCTTGACGTATATAAATAGCAAAATGACGTTTTACTTTAATTATGTAAAAATAATAAAGTAAAGTATATACCTTTTATATACTAATTATAATATTATAGACAGAATAATAAAGTGATAATATTATAAGAATCAGAATATCTTTTTAACGACGTATTTTTTGTCTAATTTGAATTAGCACACAATTGTCACTCTTATAACAATTTAATAATAATTTATAATTTAATTTTTCTTTAGAGAAAGTGCTATAAAATACATTGCTTTCTCATGTTTATAATATTATTATAAATTTCATTTCAGAAGTTTATAAAAATGAATCTTTTTCCAAAATTAATTAGCGAAAAATACAAATTTTTCGCTAATTATTTGAAAGTTAATAATAATACACAATAGGATAATTTAAGAGTCAGTTACGTAACGAAGATCGCTTAATTTAAAACATATAAAATAAAAAACCAAGATAATCAATAGGCTCAGATAAATAAATCCAAAAAAATTAATAAAATGCCAATATGAGCCGACACAAGTTATTAGTGTGTATTTATATATATAAAATTTATTCGAAATGAATAATAAGATTATTTTCCTGTTGCTATTATGTTGCAGTACTTCGTCGGAGACACATCTTCTATATTCTATCTTTTTGCAAGTTGCTCCGAGAGACTTCACAATTTTTCATTTAACAAGGTATTGTAATTTTATCTCTTTATATATACATATATATATATGGCTACATCAATATAAACTGTTATTATAATTTTTTACTTCACATGGCTATATCTTTTAAATAATTTTGTTGCACCGTTATGATGCTTACTAAATTTCTATTACTCAACAAATTTTAAATAATGGACAACAATTCGGCCTTGACGTTGATAATTGACAAGCATCCTAACGAACAACAAAATGTTAAAAACTTATTTCACAATTTACTAAAAAAAATTATAATTTTGTAAAAATTCTACTATTATTTGTCAAATTTCCGTTAATATTTTAATTATTTGTTAACATTGAAAATGATCCGATCAGTGTCGAAACGTTTGTTGTTTTTATAATTTAAATATATTTTCTTTATTTTCTCTTTTTAATTGTAATATTTTTATTTCGGCTCGTTGCCCGTTAAATCATTTAATATTTATTTATTATTGTCGAGCCTTCTTCTACTGTTCTTATTTTAAACGATCTTTGTTATATATGACTGGCTCTTAGCCCTTAAATTTTCCTATTGTGTTTTATATTTGAAACTACTTACAGAGTTTTATCATTATTTCTTATTTTTAATAATAATATATTTATATGGTAATAATACAGATTTATATATATATATTGATCATATCAATATATTATATATGTATTATATTAATAATATATATTTCCAATAATATATTATTATTATTATTACTTAATAGTATTCTTTTGCTGAAGAAAAATTGATTCTAGTAACCACTTTAAAAAGATATTTGATTTTCTTAAAATTGTATAAATATGTAAAAGGATTTTTTTAGTGTTGTATTCTGCTTATAATATCATTTATATATAAAAAGTTTTATTTAAAAAACCATATTTTTATAATAATAATTGTTAATAATATAATATTTTTATATCTGAAGAAAACTTAAACATAAAGCCAAAACATGTAGTAGGCCTCTGATAATGTTAAAAAGATTTCATTATTATTTGATTGTATTTGATTTTGAAGTAAACATATAATTTTTTTTAGATATTCCTTGACTCTTATATGCCTTTTATGATATATTGTATTTTGAATATTAAGAATCCTATACTATCTTATCTATTTGTTAATAATATATCACAAAATATCAAGTTATTCGCAATGCAAATTCAATTAATTAACTATAATTTAATCCTTAATTAATTTTTAAAGATATACTATAGTCTTTGACAAAATCAATTAGAATAAAGTATATTTCCTAATTAAACAGGTTCAACATTTAAAATGTTATTCAAATAACAACAAGATAATTGCTTATTATGTGGACAAGTGAAGTAAAAAATTGATATTAAAAAACAACAGCAAAATTACGACAAAGAGATAAGATTAAAAAAATTTAAATAAAATCTGCCGCGTCGAAAAAACGATGCCCAAGAGCTTTCTTAATTTCCATAATTTTTAACAATTTTAATGAAAACAAATATAAATCTATTCATTATTTTTGACAAGAGTTTTTAACACAGGAAATCATAGACTTTACCTTAATAATACTGTTAATGCAACGATTTCATATTCACATGAAATAAAATCATAACCCCACGATAAAAATATTACACAATGCGACATTATTTAATACGATAAAAAATAAAATATTCAGCGTCGTTGCTTTCTTTCAATTTTTAATTATGCACTAAATCGTTGTACGTTTTATCGAGCGTAATGATTTTAATGGAATTTGAATAGTTAACTGAGATATCTAAGCACAATTCTTTTCCAAGCGACATATCGGACGTCAACGTGAATCTTCTTTACGTAGCGTGCTGTTGCCGATCTATTGCAAGATAAGTCGACTATTCACAGCGCGGTGCGAAATTACATTTTACGACCGTCGCTAAATTAACGCTTTTGAAAGGCTTCTTAGCGCCATTATATTTAGCGAACTACAATTATCTACATTGTGCGTCGCGTTAATTGCGGCAGTGATAGTTACTTAAGAATAAGCTCTTTTACGACCTACGATACTTGTTTGTAATTTTACGCTTACCATATCTGATCTCGCCACATTACATAAATTTTCACTAATATACATACATTTTGATATGCCATTTTTCCAATTTAATATCAATTCTGAATCAATATCTCTCTGTAAGCAAGAATTAAATGTGTTAAAAATCTATAATAAAAAAATTAAAAAAATAACTTTTTATTATATATATTTTAAAATTAACTTAATAAATAATAATAGGCTCTGTAAAAATAAAAACAAATTGAAAAAATAGAAAGACTAAGAGCCAGTTATAAAATAAAGCACTTTAATTTAAAAACATAATAAAGATAATAACAACAAACGTTTCGACGCCGATCGAGTAATTTTCAATTACAGTAAATACATTATAATTGTAAAACTTAAAAATCTACAAAATATATGATTTTTCAGTATTCTTCATATCCTGTGTTATAATGTTGCGAATCAAAATAAATTAAAATAGTCATAATCTGTTCTTGATTTTTGTTTTCCTTCTTGATATTACGTTATCTGATATTGTCGAAATCACTTATTCTTTAATAAAGGGAAATGTTCATTTGCAACCTTGCTCCAATTTTTAAGATAACTACAGAGTGTATCACCACTTTTTGCGTTCTTTTTTATTCATTGACTCTCAACATTTTATTTAATAAGGTACATTTTATATTTATATATATCGTTAGTTTGTATGTGATTAGCATTAATTTTCTTTTGGTAACAGCCACTTTTTAGATTGTTACGATTTTACGTCGAGAATTTTCAACGACTAATTTGACTATTTTAATTTATTGACTCGCAACATTATAACACAAGACACGAATAACCATACATTTTGTAGATTTTTAATAGTTGTACAATTATAATGTATTTACTAGGGCCGGCGAAGTAAATTTTTTTCTATGTATGGAGTTTCGGTTGGAGAAGGGTGGCGAGGAGGAGAGTTGACATTAATATTTTAGACTGTTCTTTCATATATGCGTTTTTATTTTTATGTTTTATAAAGTAAATGTTGCTGCTCTTATTTTGTTTTTAGTTATAAAAATTCTTCATTTTAGTAATTTGAAATCTAAATCTTTGGCAATATCCTGATACATGTGGAAAATTGCTATATTATTTAAACGTTTTTGTAACATTGTCGCTCGAAGAAAATTTTTTAGACGCCTAAGCGTGAAAAACGATCTTTCGTTAGAACACAACGAACTCGGAATTGTTAATAGTATTTTAATTAATTTAGTGAAACTAATTATGTGTTAATTAAGTGTTCACATAAAGTATTTATTGAATATTAATTTAGTGTTTACTTCTGAGGTTTTGACGTATGTATGCATATATGAAAAAACAGTCTAAAATATTAATGTCAACCCTCTTCCTCGCCGCCCTTCTCCAATCGAAACTCCATACATAGAAAAAATTTACTTCGCCGACCCTGATTATCTTTATTATGTTTTTAAATTAAAGTGCATTATTTTATATAACTAACTCTTAACCCTTTTATTTTTTTTAACCCTTTTATTTAACCAATTTGTTTTTAAAATTAATATTTTTAGATTATAAAAAGTATATTAGCAAATTTCGTAAAATTTGTACAAAAACAAAGTGATGCTACTAAATATGTCAATTCATTAAAATTTACTAGTATATTTCTAAGTTTGATACAGTAGAAAAGGTGATCTCATCGAGAAGTTCAATAATGACTATCAATGTTATCCGATAATATGAGACGTACAACAAAAGAGATCTGTATTATAAATAATTTCCTTAAGAGATTATTTTAGAATACCTTTAATACTCTTGTTGCCAAAGAGATTTAATATGTCTAACAAATTATGGAAGAAAAAAAATCTTCAAAAGATTTAAAGAATCTCTGCGATAAAGTGAGAAAGGCGAGCATCCTCAATTACTGACTTAAGAGGATCCTGAAGACAATTAATCATGTTAGAAATAGGTACAGACCATTACGTGTCATTGACACATCAATATCTCATTCACACATGCTACATATATACATAAATCTTTGTATCGCAATTACGTTTTAATTAGATGTTCCAATTCTCGGCATGTTCTCATCAGTTTTCATTGATTTTAATTACACATCTAAATCCAATTTTAAGAACTCCACGCTGCAAACTTGCCTGTGGATTACTATTTCGTAAGTATAGTTTTTATATGAAGTAAATGTTATCATAATGTGCTTCGACGTGACAGCTCTGGAGCACTATTGGACTAAGAAATGGTAAAGTAGAACTCAATTAAGGATTTTCTAATCTGTGAATGACAAAAAAAGTATTTGCGCGATACAAAAATTATATAATTTAATCGATAATACAGACGACTTTAGGATCCCTTTAAAATTATAGCAAATTCTGTAACTATATTCGGAAATAACTGATGAAATAGAAACTTACTTGCGAAACCTGCAGCTTCGTATTAAACAATCAATCATAGACAAATCCGAAATTAATACTACAGAATCAACTATAGACCAGAAACTTAAGATCAGTATCACTGAATCAATCAAAAATCATAAATCTAGGATCAATACAATCAAATCAACAAAAAATCACAATCATTTTTCAATTTAGCAATGTTACTTAGTATTTGAATACGGGATACATGTATAATTATAATGAGATTGACATATGTATGGATCACAGACTGGAGCAACTACTATTAAATGTGCTATTATGCGCATCTTTAAACATTTTGAGATCAAAGGTGTCAATAAAACGGAAAACGATTTTTTTTTTCAAAAAAGATTGACTGGTCGTCTGCGGGTCTATTATGTTTGAGGAAGCTGACGGAAGATGTTAATGTTTTATAATATAAACTCACGGAGAGTTAACAATGTAGATCTATTAATCGTACGTATCAATGTCAATGATAAACGTTGTATTCATGATATATACATATCACGAATAATTATAGATCGTCCAAGGTGTTTCAAATAAATGAGAAATTATCGAATCGGATTACGGACCATAACTCCTTGTTTTCTTTGTGTAGAACTTTCGTGAGGAATGTGTCGTCTTTGATATGATTTCTCGTTGCCAAAAAAATTCCATATTGAGTAGATATTGATACCGTTGCAAAATGTTACTGTAACAAACATCTAACTTAAATACAATTATAGAAAAGTGTTTCGAAACGGAAAATTATATTTTATTTTGAATATCAATATTAAATAAATTGTCTTACATCTTACATTAAACGAAGGTGTTAAAAATAAAAATATTTTTTTTATAATATATTTGTCCACGTCACACTTCTTCCCTCTTTTTAATGTCACACAAAGTACGAGTTTGTATTTAAAAAATTTAAATATTTGTAACTATACTCAATGTAATTAGTCAATTCATATAACTGAATAGTAACAGCAAAATGTAAAATAATTTCAAAAATTGTAAAAGTGATATACCATAACGAATATTCCCGAAACTCTTTATGTAAACAAGTTTTTACTTTGTCTTTTCTTTCTTATTGTTTAGAAGAACTTTTGTGTTTATTTATAGGAAATAGGATTGATCGAACACGAAATATCAACAGCTTTATACGAGAAGAACAAAGAAAGGTTTCGAATTTTCATTAGAAAATTGTTGACCGAATGTCATAATATTAACAAATTCGTATCAGTGTGACATAAATGAGGATAATCAGGTTACATTATTTTTAATAATAATAATTTTGATAGATAATATTAAAATTAATAATAGTCACCGATATATGTAATATTTAATTCAATAAAAATAATACAAATAATACGAAATGTTTATAACAATATAAGCGAAATAATTAATTTATATTAATTTATTAGCGTTTTGATTAAAATTGCAATTCTCCTAGTAATGTAGAACAAATTATAACAATAAAGTTAAAGTTTTAAAAATCGCTACTATAAAACAAATCAAGCAAGATAAAAATCTTTCCTCTCGATGTTTATAATATTATCAGGTTAGCAAATTCAAATTTTAATGTCAGTTTTATGTTGAAGATTTCAACACAGAAAGACAGACGTGACGATCAAAATCTATTTAGAAAAGCAACATTGCTTACCAATCAGAAGTAGTTTAGTTAACAGAAATCCAAATAAAAAAACGCAACTTGAGTGAAAAAATTGGCGCACAAGCGCCTGATAAACCAAAGAATAAAAACGTCTATCTGTAATAAATCGGACAAGAAAAACAAGAAGAAACGTATTTCGAAAAATACACTATTAGATGAAGAAGAAAGAGAAAATAAGAAAAATTATAGGAAATTGCACTTACCATTGTGTGGCCCACTGTCGTATTACTTGAAAAATAATGAAAATTTATAATAACCGGTGTGTTATCAATAAACTTTATTAAAAATCATGTTGCAAGTTACAACATTCCGGGCCAAAAGGAATGGAAACAGAAAACTCAAGGGCACAAAAATAAACTTGCGAGCTATACGGCGAGAAGATATTAAATAATCAGATATTCAAAGAACATTGGCAATATAAGCAGAAGTAGAATACTACGTGACTCAAAAAAGCAAAATATTACGGGTAAATTTAAACCTTAGAAGGCTTATCAAATAACCAAGGAAATCAGGATTTCAAGGTTTTTTAAATATAAAAAGTAACAATAAGAAGTAATCATCTTTAAAGAAATAAATTGTAAATTCAAGATTTATTATCTTGCTTGACGTCATATAAAAGCTACTTTCAAGAGTTTCAAGGTTTTAATTTCATTGATTATCTACTATCAAAGGAGATCTTAATTTAAATTGAAGTGTTTAATAATTTAATTCCATGAATTAATTATTTCATATATAGTATTTTAATTTGTACAATAATATCTTTTCTTGATTATTTTATTATTAATTACAAATCTCAAAAATACAACACAAAGATATTTATTAATTTTAATTTTTAAAAGAAATAATAAAATATATGTCCTTTTCCGCGTGAAAAAGAATCAGATTTTTATAGTATAAGAGAATAATATTTTCTGAAAAATTTTGAAGTTGAACACTTCTTTAAAACTTTTACACAAACGGCAATTTATCAAAATGTACTACAATTACATTGTAAACTTTCATGAACTAAATTATTTTTTTTTAAATAGAGAAAAGATAAGATTTATATACTCAGTTGTTCGTGCGCGGCATTGAACTTCATAAAGCACAGTCGCATGTCTTTATCCAATGGCAGCACATCGACGATTCGATTGAAACTGGCAAGCACTGCGACAATGGTGTACACGTTGTCTTCTTCTTTGTAAGTCCAATGTACGACCAACTCGCCGCTTAATTTATTCCAGGCGAGATTTTCCACACGACCACTGAATTTGGCGCGCACAAAGGCCGTCATCACACACTTGTTGACATTCCACAATGACAACGATCCGGTGGCCCTTCCGCCTATGCAAAGCAAGCCGGACATTTGCGGGTGCCAAGCGACCGCCTGTTGAATATATTCCACTGTTATATTCCACTTATCGTTGAAAAAATCTGATTTGTATAGAATTATTGTATTGGTATTGAAGATAACCGTAAGATCAAGATTAATATCAATTTTTAATTATGAGCAATATTTAAAGTAGGCGGATTCTCGAATTTATTCTACAAAAATTATTTCAAGCATCATCTGTTCACTTGCACAGAAAAAATGATTTTGCTAAAGTGTCTAAAAATTTAGCTATGTAGATACAGCTTTGAAAACAAATTGTATTAAATCATCAAAATAAATAGGGCACTTAAACTATTATAATTACTAGAATGTTAAAACTTTCTGCAGTATTACACATTATGTTTGAAAATTCTGCATAGTAATTTTGATTAGAGAGGACAAAATTATTTTCAAATCTTAACTAAATTTTTAGATCTGTACCTAGAAAAATCCTTTTTCCTGTACATTCGCAATTATTATATTCTTATTCATTGTATTGAACAATTTTAGATTCGTGTTGTAAGTAAAATTTGAGTTGTACTCAAGTATGATTTGATTGTAACATTTGTTAATGTAATCGATCATGAAAATTGAATATCACTTTCGTAACATTGAGTGAGTGGACTTTTTTATCCTAATAAAGATTATGATGAAATTATTGAAGATTATTGAATAGCGTTTCACCGGCTTACTTTTACAGGTTTAAAGAATCTGATATTGAAACATGGAGTCAATTCCGACCAGGAAAATAATCGAACGTTTTTGTCCTCCGCGGTCGATACGAGATACTTGTAATTTGGCGAAAAACTCAGGTTCAGGATCTCGGCTTTCGTATGCTGGAGTTTGGTGCGCAGCAACATGCCCGTGTCAGCATCGAATATTGATATTCTGCCGGCGCATCCGCTGCGGATATAATATTACTAATTTTTCATTTTTATATTTTTTATATATATTATTTTATTATTATAGTCTACTATAAAGTGGTCTTGTTTGTTTATATTTCCGATTATCCAATTTACAGATGGTATGCTGGATAAGTGTATTATGACCTTACGATAAATAGACTTAAATCATGAAATAAAAAATATGTTTTTTTAAATATCGACATAAATGAGTTATGATATAATGAATTTGAAATGCATTTTATTTGTAGCATTAATTCTAGGTACTTTACTAAAACTCTTTGCTGATCCACGTTTGGAAAAAAAATAATTATAATATTTACGTACGCTATAACCACAAAGAATTAATATCCGGAAAAAATATCGAATATTCGAAGAATTAAGATTATAGCACACAAAAAGCTTAAGCAATAAGAAAATTAACATTTTATTGACCGTCTATAATATTCTCTTGTGATTGTGTGGTCAATTCTTTTAATTACAACCACTTATAATTTATACGCTTACGCAATTATAGAACGAGCTGTAGAAATTTACTCTACTGCTTATATTATTATCTTACATTTCTATTGCGATTGAACAATTCACTTACTGTCTTATTACCTTACATTTTTTGTGTGCCATAGTCTCTAATTATAAAATCGATATTCACGTGACGATTTGACGATCATAAGCTGACCAACAAATGCAACGTATAGTGCAGCCTCTTTCTTCCAACCAGCATTTACACATAACGTCCCACAAAATCTTCTGCTTTTTCAAATCGTACATCACAAGCATCGAGACGTGTTTATCAGGAATGCAGACAGACATTATCAATTTATTGCCTAAAATGATAGATGATTTATGTTTATTATCTAGATTAAAATAAGGCATGTCGTATAATTATTTTCTACTTATCTCTCAACAGACCTTAATGATTCAACAAGTGTAACAAAACATCATTTTTACTGTTACATTTGCTGAACTTTTGATAACATTGAAATATGACATAAAAAATATGTAACTTGTAAAAAGAGTATTATAATTGTCGCACAGACTTGCCAATATCCAATTATTTGAGACAATTGCTGTTTGCGTGATACGTGGTACACTTTGTATACTGAAGAATGGCAAGTCAGGTGTTACTTGTAACGCTGTTTCCCCCATCTTTTTTGATGTTACACTCACCGTCACTGGCCCATTTAATATCGGTGATTTGATTGACATCAGAAATCACCGAACTACATTGGATGGCAATGGATGTCACCTTTTCGCCGTCGTTATTATATATATTTAGGCAATCATTATTGGACACAGCCATCATGTTGTTGCAGTTCCAATCCATTGCCTTGATATTTCCTTCAATATCAGAAGTCATTTAAGAGATATGGATTTAACAAGTAAATCTGAATTACTTTGAATTAATTGTAACGTACCCTGTAAAGGGATGATATCTTCGGGTATAGACAACATCTTCTCCGCACTTCCTATCAAAATTTTTTTGCGAGGTACGCACTTCCAGCTTTCTTTCTTTTCGTATTCCGACCGCGGCGGTTTCCGAGGTCGTCGCACCATCGAACCGCTAAAGCGCAAAATCTTGTCTTGATCTAATGCTATCAAGAAGCGTATTTTTCGATTTTAATTCATTATATATTCAACAAATGAAAATACATAAAAAGAATCCAGCGACTATACAAATATTATTTCTTTAGTTAATGTCAAACAATCTATAATTTACTCTTTCAGGATTCTATTTTCTATTGTCATATATGGTGTATAAATATAAAGGAATATAAATCAGATTGGTTTTGTATACGTTGTAATTCCATTTATAATTTTATATGCCTTGTAATATGAAAAACGTTTGAACAATTAGAATACATATTATATAAAATATATATTTAAATTTACATTCATGTATCAAAATATATGCAGACAGAATTATAAATAGAAGTCTATTCTGAAATTCGATATGAGATTCCCTCAAAAGGTAGCCTTTAGAATTCTTTTTATTTAGAAGATAAAAAGCAATAAACAGAAGAATTATTTTAGGTAAGTATACTTTTATATTATACAGTCAACACACCACACACACACACACACACACACACACAAATCCATCACTCGATTATCTGTAAGAATCGCTGAAGAAGGTGAGTTCCGAAACGTACGACACTTTTTGTTACTTTTTTTGTATTGTAAAATTTAAGGAACAATAATAATTATTATTATTAAATCCATTTAGCTCGATTTAGACCGTTTAATTATTTAATTTGCATTTCAAAAAACGAACGAAATTTATTAACTTTTATATTAATTAGATTTATTAACTAAGAACAATTATATTATCTAGATATATATATTTTATTGTGATAGAAACATTACCTGGTATTAAAACCTGTTCTATCATTATTGCACGCAAAGCTTTACGTCGAAATGTATCTTCCAGCGAATCGACCTGTTTTTTTAAAAGAATCAAAATACGGTTACGCAATTAGAATCATAAATGGATATTGTTTTACACATACGTACTTGTTTACAAACGTCTATTATATTCGTTTTCTCCGTTGATTGTTCTTTCATTAACAAATAATGAGCCATGTCGAAATTATAACCACGTCGGGAGGGTAAGAATCTGTCACCCGAATAGATCTGTTTCGATATCGAAGAACACACTTTGATTTCCATGCAGTTTGGATGTCGACATTTTTGCGCATTGCATTGCTCAGGACCTTTGTTGGTGGTCTCTTTTGGGGTAACAGATAACAGAGGCCATTTCCGTGGAAGAATCTTGTAATAAACATAAAAATTATGTATATACATAATATAATACATGTCACAGTCAAAATGTTAACTTAGTAAATGTATACACTTACTGTAGTTGGCTGTAGTCAATATAGACTTACTATACGTAAATGTATACATTTACTAAAATAAAACACTTTGATTGTTACATATATACGAAATAAAAATTATAATTGTAAAAACGTATATACAACATAAAATTTATAATTGTATATACATGAATATACACTACTATTCGTCATTCGCGTGGGAAAATTCGCGAGCACAGAGATTTCTTCCTTAAATCTTTAACAAAGTAAAAACGGAAGGTGTTAATAAATTCCCGTGATCAAAATATCTCATGCAAATTTTTCGTTGAATAAAACATTAAGATCTCGTGAACTGAAAATAGATTGCAAATTGAACTTTTAAATTTCACGAAAGAATCTCTATGTTCGTCCTGTACTCTTCAGTATCTCGGGTAGAAAAACGCATCATTTTTCCCGGATTTATTCGAAGGTCGAAGACTAATTCTCCAGTACATCAGTGTGATCGATTGATCACCGCTCAATCGTTAGCCCGTGACCGTCGCAGCTAATTGAAAGCTTCATTCCCACGGTGAATCGGTGGAGAACACGGTGGGGCCCGAACCGGTCAGCGACGACATTATGAGATGCGAAAACGCCACGCATACGCGCCGCTCTGTTCGTGGGCCGTATCACCTGCGGCAAAACTCTGTCTCTTGCAGGGGATGCTCCTTGAAATGAGAGACAATAAATTTGAGAACGAGAGAGACAGAGCTACGACGGCCGCTATATGAGACACCCTGATCCATAAACGGCATTTTTATCATAAGCATTTAAGCAAACGCTGCACCAACTTCGACATATTAGAATTAACTTCGACACTTGCAATTTGCAAAAACTTGGAACATTCTTATGAAATGCTACACGAGCTCTTTAAAAAAAAATCAAGCAATTGAATTGAAGAAATAAAATTGATTCCTCCCAGCATCCATCAGGGATTCGACGGAGTTTTCCGTTATGTACAGCACGCTTTGCCTCGCGTTCGAGTAGCGAATCGTCTGGGAAGGGAAGCAGTTTTCGCGCTTTTGTAACAGGAGACTGCGTTGCATAGAAAGAGAAAAGATCCTATCAGACGTAAAATCCAAAATTTTCTACGTCCGAGAACGGCCGAGTGCGGAGGGTGCCGCTGTGGATAATTTCTGCTGGAGGCATTATGCACGAAGGGGTAATACCTTATACCGACCATTGTACCCCCTGCGAACATCTGGCTGTCCGGGTTAGTGATGGATGGGACAAGTTACCGAACCTGATTCCCGTAGCTGGACCAATCTCACATATACACACGTTTAAAAAAAGAAAAGAAAGGAGACCGCTCCCGTGCGCTCGCGCGTCGCGTCTTATAAAACTTTAATTTGCAAGTTATTAAATAAACTCTCACGAGAAATAATTTCACGCACATGTTCACGTTACAGGGATAAGAAGATTTATTGTTACTGATTGCAAAAGCAATATATTTAATTAATTGCATGATTATATATAATAATATGCAGCATAAAATTTCAAGAATTTTAAAGAAGAAAAAAAGAAACTCGAAAATACACACCAAGACGCGTTTTGTAGTACATGCAAGACCTCATTAAATATGGATAAAAGACGTGGGCAGTTCCTGCTCTACAAAAAGCTTGTTTGTTCATCTGGAATTGATTTTATTACTCGCGTGAAAGGCTTAGAATGTTGAAAGTCGAGATCTCGTTTCTCTTGGATATCCTAAGCACTCAAAAAAGGAATTTTAATTTTGAAACGGGATTCTCCGTGGCGATACGAATGATGGCAGGTACGATCGCGCGACGCAGCGCGACGATCTAAAATCGCTCGGAGCCAAGCGACTTGTAAGCGCGACGATCTCCCTCCACTTTCGACACCCGTTACGACCGTAGCATTAGATCGTACGTTAGACACGCGATTGGCTCCCGTCGGATGCGAAGAGGTTGGGCCAGGTGGGCCATCAGGGGGCTCATGACGCTATTGGCAGCACAAACAGCCGCGAAGGAAGGGAACAAACGAGTTAGCGAATCCATAGCTTCACTATAAACGAATTATTACGTCTTGGTCACCCTTATTTATGAGCTTATTACATTCAGAGAATGACTAATTAATTAATTAACTTGTCATTGATTCGAGAGATGGATATATTGTCGGAGCGATTACATTCATTATCGCATAATATAAATCAGTTAAAGTTACACTTTATTAATTAGAGACAAGAACAAAGCTATTTTATACAATCTTATATTTCTGCAAGAGAATTGCAAATAAAAAAATGAATTTAAACAGGTATATAAGTATATAGAGAATTTGGAAAATTATTTTTAAATTATTTACTGTATCTGCGTGCATTAATAACTTTTTATTTCGTTATTTTTACGCGTCGGAAAATACGAAAGCGATCTTCCCGTGGGTCTTGATCGAGGGCGCGAAATGCGTGCGCCAAGATCAGGTGGGGAAGGCGCTCTCCCAGGTTCGATGAGGCGCAGGACGCGGAATGCACGACGTAGGACGTAGGACATGGGTTTCCCGCGAGTGGGGAGTCCTCCGGTGCACAGCATCCTTCCCTCGCAGCGACGAAGCGACCGAACTGGTCCTGAGAGACACGGCGAGGGGGGCTCGTGAGCCGGGGCCGTGGCTTGGCGGGCCCCGTTTCTGGGCCCGCTGTCTGCAGCCCTCAGTCGCTCGCTGATGCTTGGACGAGCAGGAGTGTCGAGTTATCCTAGGGCAGGACTCGTCGCGATTCTGCCAATTTTTCACTTTTTCGGGGGGAAGGTGGGGTAGAGGGACGAGAGAAAGACAATGATTCGCGTTCGCGCCGACTTTAGATCGACATCCGGCCGATCTCTGTTCTCCCGTTTCGCTAATCCCGAGTCGGCCGATCGAATAATTGAGACCAACTCTCGAAGATCACCGAGATTAATCCAGGATATTCGAGTTGCTAGTGGTTGCAAAGGGACGTTGGAAAAAAAAACTTGAAATGATCAGTTTTCTTCTTCTTTGGATCTTGAAACAGAATCAATGCGATTCGATGATCGTTATTTCGCGTCGATCTTCGCATTTTCGATCTTGATCCCTGTTTCCCGCCCTGTGATTCCTGATCAATGCGATTCCTTGCAGATAGTTAGCTAATAGTCTTTACTAAATTAGAAATGGAATATCGAGATACCGATAACGAAGTATATACGTATAAACGAATGTTCCATCGAGAAGTGTAGATTGACAGTGCAATTTACGTTCAATTAAATTTACTACAAATTATTACCGTGTCATTACCTTAATAGTCAATTTATCGACGTTGAAGTCAACAATTCGATAGCTAAAGGCAGAATGAAGGAATCCCCTTCTCTTCTTCCGTAAGAAGATTACAAGATTACATCAAAGTTTCTACGTTTCTTTCGCGTTCGCTTCCCGTAACTCGTCATCGTCTTGCAAACGGGATACGTTATATTTTATATATTGTGTAAGATAAATTTAATATCTGAACTATTAAAGTGTGTAAAGCAGATGAACCTCTTCAAAGAAAAAGAGGAAAACACTGATATATAATATCGAACAGTGTTATCAAACATTGTTCCAAAAATATTAGAGGTTATCAAACGGTGTACTGGAAAATCGACGATCTTGACGTTCAACAGGACTCGCAGGATCTTGTGGAGCCACAGCAGTTCCGATGAAAAATATGTCTCGACTCGTCCTGGCTCGCTTGAACGCGGCGCCTATGCCACGAGGCGTGGTTCGTCGGGGACGAGTTTGCCGCGAATGGGTCACACGATAAAATCCGTCGAACATCGGTGGATTATTACGGGAGATTTCCGGTGGAATCGCGAGCGCGTATCGCTGCCACCGCTGCCGTTGCCGCACCGCTTCGCGATATGATCGCGATCCTACGTAGTGCGTTTGGATTCCGATGTGCGTGCCGAGTTGGATTATGCCGCGGGGTTACTCGACGGAGTGATCGAGGAAGTGGGAGTCGGCTGTGATCACCGCGCGGCCGTGCCGCGCCGCGCCGGTCGGGATCGATCGAGCGGAAAGGCAAAAAATCATTCCGGCAAACGAGGATCCCGGAGGCCTCGCGTCGTTACAAGGATCAAGGATCAATGATCTCGGTGCGATGATTTTTCGAATTCTCCGGCGAAATACAGTTAGGCGTTTTAACGTTTTCCCTGGTCTCTCTTCTGGATACCTCGCGCGTAATTTTGTCGAGTAAGCGAGTACAGGCAAAATGAGTACTTTATAGATGTGAATTCGCACGAGCCATCGCTTCCGCCAGATGGATATTAAAATCTTAGACGGATGACTTTACGCTAATAGAAAGAAGCGTTGCGTCTCTACTCGTGTTTTCATCAGACCGCTACTCAGATAAGAAATTTTCTTCTGCACACAAAGAGAGGAAAAAGAAAGAGTGGTCGATAAAAAGGAAGGATTTCCTAACTTCCTGCGAGTTAGAACGTGAGAGAAAGGCTGCCTCGCAACCACCTTTTGTATGCTCAAAGAGACGAGCACGAAATTGAGTTGTAAAGTTCCGAATTAAAATTTGGTAGTCCAGGTGACT